CGCGGACTGTCGGGGCCTTTCGATAAAAGAAAAGTTTGCTCTATCAGATGCTGGTGTTATATTTCGTGGGTGTGTTTTTGATGGTTGAAGGGTTTGTGTTTGGAGCTGTCGTTTACGGATGGTTGTCCGCTTGTTTCAAATGTTAACCCAGAAATAGCCTGGCTTTTGGTTCAAATGCCAAAAGTTCATCCAAAGACACCAGGAGCATAAATTAAATTTTATAGCAATTATGCTCCCAACGAAAACATATAAACACTATTATTCAAATGTAACTGGAAGCGTTTGGTACGTGAGGTCCACGCTTTCTTCCTTTCCCTTGATCTCAGGTTGTGGAGTGGTTTCAGATATTCATTTCTGACATCACTTGACTCCTTGAAATCCTCTCTGCGGCACATGCTGCGGTCATTTTCCAGGATGCTTTCAAAGTATTGGCTGCGTTAGTGTGAGATTAGATTAGATTAGATTAGATTAGAGAAACCTCAAGCAAACCGCATACACCTAATTTGTCATCGACCTGAAGAAGCAGATGGCGAAACTCCGACCGACTCCAACAAAAAAACATTCCAAAGCAACATCATTCCTGCAAAAAAAACTGAGCGGTACCGAACCCGACACCGCGGAAAATCGTATAATTTTATATTTGGCACATATAGGTAAATTTAGAGAAGAATTGTTTGGAAGTCAATTAAAGGCTACTGAATTGAGAAAGTGTGAACTGAAACGTTGGCTATTAACTCAATACATGTTGCGCTGATGACGCTCAGGTCTCAATATTTTCATGTTATCCTATTATTATTATTATTATTCTCAAGTGGACCAAAAGCTGGAGCTAGGGCCAAAACTGGCTCACCTACCCTACTTCCATAGTTACGAATCACAAATAAGGGGTCATCCATTAAGAATGTCACATATTAAGTTCACCGCTCCAAAAAAATAAATTCGTTATGATTTTTCTAAAAATATTGAAAAAAGGTATCAAAAATCTAAAAAAACAAATATTTTCAAATTTTTCAAAGAAAATTCACGTGCAAAAAACTCTAATTTTTTCATGATGAGATAGAAAAAATATTGTTACATGTATTTTTTGACAAAAATCTAAGGAAGAAACTGATTTTCTTGGATTTTTGATAATTTTTCCTAATATTTTTAGAAAAATAAAAACGTACCGAAAATATTTTTTTATTTTCGGGCCGGTAAACTTCCCCTTAAAGGTCCACGCACATTGCATCCGTTGGTGATCCGTTGCGGAAAATCTAACAGTTGTACAATAGATTTGAATGTCATTTTGCCGCAACGAACCACTTACAAATGCAATGTGTGTAGACTTTAAGAATGGATGAGGGCAATGCAACAACGTAAGCAATGCGTGAGATTATAACGAAAAAGGGAGGGGTTAATTTTTCCTCACTTTAGCGTGACATACTAAGGCTGTGAACCATTTGCCGAGTTAAATTTAACTCATGTTTAAAAGTGACATTGCGAAAATTATTCTCAATGTTCGAAAATCCCTGTACTGTCGATCGACCGGTTTTCGAGAAGACCTTATCCAAGGTTGTCAAAATTTAACTTCTTTTCTGTCAGAAGTAACCACGCTCGGATAGCAGGGTTAATCGATAACTTTCCATCTGTCAAATTTTAACCAATAGTTAAAATAATCCACCAAATGGTTCAGAGCCTAAATAGATGCCCCAATACATGTTGTTTTTTTCAAAATATCTCATAAAACTCCCTCTATTCATGTTTTTATACTTTCAGAGTCGCTTAGCAGGATGGCGGAACCATTAGTAACGTCATGCTGCCGTTGTTACTCCCTGCGGAGTGGTTCTATTATATCTGGCGTCATGGGAATTGTTCTGTCGATTATTTCCATAATCGTAATTTTCACCACCAGAGTTGAATTTAAAACTATTCTCATGGATTGGCTGCCACAGAATGTAGTGAAAATCATATTTGTGCTGAATCTCTGTATGACTATTTTGATTTCTCTATTAATGCTCCTTGGTGTATTTAAGGTAAGAGATAAGTGTATATTTTTTTATAATCATTTTTTTTTAAATAAATTTTGCCGCAAAAAAATTATTTATTCTATGCTTTTATTTTTTTATATTGCTTTCCGCTGATTAATTATTGGAAAATAGCTTATAGCACAGCAAATGAATCCAACTCATATTTGAGTACCGTTCACTAAAATCCGAAAAAAAGTAGGCCACTCATAGAATGAGTAAATTTATTCTCAAATAAAAGTAAATGTGACTCATATATGAGCAAATGTCACTCAAATATTAGTGAAATTTACTCATTCTACGAATGATCAACGGTTTTGCGAATTTAAATGAACGGTACTGAAATATAATTTGCTGTATTCAGTTTATTTATCCTTGATGACAACTTCTAGATTCCTCATATAAATTAATTGATAACCAGTTTCAAACGTGTTATAAACTAGTTATTCAAATTCTAAATACTGAAATACCATAATGACCCGATTTTGCCAGCCCCTCCGTGCATCAAACTTTCATCTTCCAATACTTTCACTTAACCGTGAGTCCAAATCTCTCTCAATCATCTTCAAAATGTATGTCAAACGTATAAAAAGATTAAAAAAAAAGAGGCTGGCAAAAAAATCATTACTGTCTAAGTTTTGGGATACATGAGCTTTCCAAAAAAATACTAGATATATAACAATACAACTAATTAAAAACAACTTAGTAGTAGTCCATTCCTAGTTGAGCATTCAGTCGGTTAACAACGTCCCGGTTTCAGTTGCGCGGCATCTAGTTTTTTTCGGTGTTTTTTCCGCCCGAGCGGTTTTTTTCACCCCCCATTGGGTGCCCCAAGTGACCAGTGTCCAACAGAGGAAGTGGAATTCCATCGGCCGAGCCCCTTGGAGTTACCATCCAGCTTTAATTCATCCCGGTAATCCATCACCGGAGTTAACGGCGTCGTCAAGTCCATCATTTTTTCACGCCGTCGCGAGGGTGTGCAAGTGATAGTGAAGCGTGTCGTATCACCAGCTTGCTGACCCACCAACACCAACCATCACCACCGGATAGCAGCGTGGACCAACACCAACGCACCACGTGATAACAGCGTTTCCACACACACGCTTTGTGCCGGTGTAGTTAAGTAGCGAATAAGTTTTATTTATTGCCCCTTTGTTTTAGTTTCCCCTTTCTCCCATCCCACGCAAATATTTTCTTCTTCTTCTTCTTTTTTCTCTTGTCCCTGTGTGTTCCCTGTGTGTAGTTGTTTTGTATCTATTGCGGTGGCAGTTGCCCCGCAATGGATGGTAATAGTGATGGCGGGGGGAATACCCTTCCTGCCCTTCCCACTGAAGACGAACTGTCCGACGTGGAAACGTCAGCCACGGTGAAGAAGTACACCGGAACCATCCCGAAGCGGCCCAGGCGAAAACGAGCACCGGAGCCCGTACCGCCTACCCCATCTCCTCCTACCCCGCCTAATCCATCGCCACCAACACCACCAGCACCGTCACCCCCCGCACCACCAAACCCGTTTCCCCCTACCCCACCTAATCCCTCTCCCCCCACACCGCCAAAACCGTCTCCCCCTACTCCGCCTAACCCCGCCAAGAAAACAAAAACTGCCCCCCGCCATAAGTCATACCCAGACGCCTCGACAGGCCCATGGGTTGTTTTTTTCCGACCCAAACAAAAACCGCTTAACGTTAACCAGATCGAAAAAGATCTATTCAAACGTTTCTCGTCAGTGACCGACATTTTGAAGGTGAGGCCAGACAAACTGCGCGTCACTGTTGGTAACCGCAAGCAGGCGAATGAGATTGTTGCCTGCGAGCTTTTTACGTTAGAGTACCGCGTTTACATTCCCAGTCGTGACGTGGAAATCGAAGGAGTGGTCACCGAAGCGAGTTTGACCTGCGATGACTTCTTGAAGAGGGGGGTTGGTGTCTTCAAGAACCCCGTTCTTCCAGAAGTCAAGATTCTTGACTGCACCCAAATGCAGTCAGCATCCCTCGACGGGACAAAAAAAATCTATTCGCTGACTGACTCGTTTCGAGTGACTTTCTCCGGATCGACTCTGCCAGATTACGTCCGAATTGGGAGGGTTCGACTTCCTGTGCGGTTGTTTATACCAAGGGTGATGAACTGCACCAAGTGCAAACAATTAGGCCACACCGCCGCCTTCTGCGGCAACAAGCCACGATGCGATCAGTGCGGCGAGAAGCATGCGGAGGGTGCTTGTGGTGCTCCTCCTAAATGTGTTTATTGTTTGGCACCTCCGCATCCTCTCGCAGATTGCCCGAAGTATAAACAGCAAGGAAAAAAACTTGAACGGTCTCTGAAGGCGCGCTCTCAGCGTTCCTTTGCGGAGATCTTGAAGACTTTTAATCCTCCTCCCAAAATCACTCCGGAAAAAGAAAACAATAATCCGTCTTCTCCCAGTTGACGAGGACGACACTGACTCAGAGGGCAATGACGGAAGTCCTTTTGTTTTCAAAGGTCCTTCAAGGAAGCGATCCAAGAATGACTCGCAGAAAACTAAAAAAACTGACTCCCAAGCCCACTTGGATAAATCAAGAGGTCACGGAAATAAACCGAAACCCAATCCACCGGGTTTTAAGCCTGTCGATTATGACAAAGAATTTCCGGGGCTTCCGGGAACATCTAAAACCCCAGATGTCCCAGTTTTGCAACCAGAACAGCAGAACGCCATGTTCACGCTTTCTGGAATTGTGGACAGCATTCTCGATCTGTTCAACATCACTGACCCTCTTCGGAGCATCATTAACATGATGCTTCCAATCGTGAAACCTTTTCTGAAGCAATTTGCTTCCAAGTGGCCCCTCCTTGCTTCATTCGTATCCTTCGATGGATAATTTTCCAAAAAATGATACGGTATCTCTCCTTCAATGGAATTGTAGAAGCATTTTACCAAAACTAGACATATTCAAATTTTTACTGCATAACATACACTGTGATGCGTTTGCTCTCTGCGAAACATGGCTCTCTCCAGATGTTAACCTTTCTCTTCACGACTACAACATTATCCGTCTCGATCGTGCAGATTCGTACGGTGGGGTGCTCCTAGGGGTCAACAAACAACACTCATTCTACAGAATCGACCTTCCTCCAGTGTCAGGTATTGAAATTGTCGCATGTCAGGTGAATATTAGAGGTAAAACCTTCAGTATTACCTCGTTATACATCCCTCCGAGAACGGCTGTTTCTCGGCGAGGGCTATCTGACATCTGCTCAGTGCTACCTGAGCCGCGGTTGATCTTAGGGGATTTTAATTCCCACGGTACAGGCTGGGGAGAGCTGTACGATGACAACCGCTCAACCATCATCTATGACCTATGCGACGATTTCAATATGACCATTCTAAACACCGGTGAAGTAACTCGAATAGCCAAACCTCCAGCAAGAGAGAGCAGACTAGACTTGTCACTCTGTTCGAACTCACTATCATTGGATTGCATGTGGGAGGTAATCCAAGACCCCTATGGTAGTGATCATTTGCCCATCAAAATTTCGATTTCCAACGGTTCATCTTCACAGTGTCCAATCAACATCGCGTACGATCTCACGAGAAACATCAATTGGGAAGAATACGCGAACGCGGTCCGTGACGGTTCAGAATCGGTCGACGTTCTCTCTCCGTTGGATGAGTACTCCTTCCTATCGCGGCTCATAGTGGATTGCGCGCTTCAAGCACAAACGAAGCCTGTTCCTGGCACTACCATTCGCAAACGTCCTCCCACTGTGTGGTGGGACCAGGACTGCACCGACGTGAATAAAGAGAAGTCTACCGCGTTTAAACAGTTTCGTAAATACGGTTCCCGCGAATACTTTGAGCGGTATACGGAGCTAGAGGAAAAGTTTAAGAGCTTGGTCAGGGCCAAAAAACGCGGTTACTGGCGTCGGTTCGTCGAAGGGCTATCGCGAGAGACTTCCATGCAAACGCTCTGGAATGTCGGCAGGAGAATGCGTAACGCGGCATCGTCGGTCAACGAGGGCAAGGAGTACTCTAACAAGTGGATTTTCGACTTCGCGCGTAAGGTTTGTCCCGATTCGGTTCCGGTCCGATGCAACACTCGCGATCCGCCGCTGGAAAACGATGACATGGACTCCCCGTTTTCGATGGTAGAATTCTCAATTGCTCTTCTTTCATGCAATAACTCAGCTCCGGGAATTGATCGAATCAAGTTCAACCTGCTCAAGAACCTTCCAGAAGTCACAAAGAGGCGATTGTTGAACTTGTTCAATCGATTCCTTGAGCTCAACGTTGTTCCGGATGATTGGAGACAAGTGAGAGTTATCGCCATCCAGAAGCCCGGTAAACCCGCTTCGGATCATAATTCGTACCGTCCCATCGCGATGCTGTCGTGTATTCGGAAGCTGTTAGAAAAAATTATTCTTCTTCGTCTGGACAAGTGGGTCGAGGCGAATGGCTTACTCTCAGATACGCAATTTGGATTCCGTAGGGGCAAAGGGACGAACGACTGCATTGCGTTGCTTTCAACTGAAATCCAATTAGCCTATGCTGAAAAACAGCAGATGGGTTCAGTTTTCTTGGACATTAAAGGGGCGTTTGATTCTGTTTGCATCGACATCCTTTCGGACAAACTCCATGCGAGTGGGCTTTCTCCGATTATCAACAATTTCCTGTTTAATTTGTTGTCCGAGAAACGAATGAGCTTCTCTCATGGTAACACGGAAATTGCACGAATCAGCTACATGGGTCTTCCACAAGGCTCATGTTTAAGTCCCCTCCTGTACAACTTCTATGTCAAAGACATTGATGAATGTCTGGCCGAAAATTGCACGCTAAGGCAGCTTGCAGATGACGGCGTGGTTTCCATGGTTGGACCAACAGCACCGGACCTGCAAGGACCATTGCAAGATACCTTGGATAATTTGTCTACTTGGGCAATGAATCTGGGTATCGAATTCTCTCCGGAGAAAACAGAGATGGTTGTTTTTTCTAGGAAGCTTTATCCAGCACAGTTTCAGCTTCAACTTATGGGTAGAACAATCACTCACAGCATGTCGTTTAAGTATTTAGGTGTCTGGTTCGATTCCAAGTGCACTTGGGGAAAACACATAGCGTATCTGAGGCAGAGATGCCAACAGCGAATCAATTTCCTTCGTTCCATTACCGGCACTTCATGGGGAGCCCATCCGGAAGATCTGATAAGACTCTACAAGACCACCATTCTCTCGATTTTGGAGTACGGTAGCTTTTGCTTTCAATCGGCGGCGGGGACGCACATATTGAAGCTCCAAAGGATTCAATATCGTTGCATTCGAATCGCGCTAGGTTGTATGCAATCGACGCATACCATGAGTCTTGAAGTTCTTGCGGGCGTCCTCCCCTTAACAAATCGTTTTGCGGATTTATCGTTCCGGTTCCTCATCCGCTGTGAAGTCATGAACCCGCTGGTGATCGAAAACTTTGAGAAGCTGCTAGAGCGGAATCCTCAAACACGATTCATGAGCTTGTACTACGAGTACATGACTCTGGACATCGGCCCCTCCTCGTTCAACCCCAATCGCGCTGTCTCCCATCATTTCAGTGGTTCTTCCGTGAGATTCGATCTCACAATGAGGCAGGAGATTCAAGGAATTCCAGAGCCTCACCGTGCCCTGATTGTCCCAACTATTTTTGCGAACAAATACCGCCACGTCCCCACCGAGAAGAGATTTTTCACAGATGGGTCGGTGATAAATGCGTCCACTGGTTTTGGAGTATTCCACGATCTTCATAGCGCCTCATACAAGCTTCAAAAGCCGTGTTCGGTATACGTTGCTGAACTAGCAGCTATATCGTACACGTTAGAGCGTATTGCCTCACTTCCACCTGACCATTATTTCATTTTTACGGATAGCCTAAGCTCCCTGGAGGCTATGCGTTCAATGAGGCCGATGAAGCACTCGGCGTATTTCCTCCAGGAAATACGATCGTCATTGAGTGCTTTATCAAACAGCTCACATGTCATCACCTTGGTATGGGTCCCTTCTCATTGCTCTATCCCGGGCAATGAGAAAGCGGACTCGCTGGCCAAGGTGGGCGCTATGGAAGGCGATATTTACGAGCGACAAATCGCCTACCACGAATTTTTCACGATTTCTCGTCAGCAAGTCCTCGCCAACTGGCAACAAAAGTGGAATGATGGTGATCTGGGAAGATGGCTACATTCTATTGTCCCACAGGTGTCGATCAAACCCTGGTTCAAAGGGTTGGATATGAGTCGTGATTTTATTCGTGTCATGTCCAGGCTCATGTCCAATCACTGTTCGTTAAACGCCCACCTCTTCCGTATTACGCTTGCCGACAGCAACTTGTGCACCTGTGGAAACGGTTATCACGACATCGAGCATGTTGTTTGGTCCTGCTCCTTGCATCATGAGGCGAGATCCGTTCTGTGTGATTCCCTTAGGGTCCGAGGAAAACAACCCTTTAAGCCAATTAGAGACGTCTTGGCTTGCCGTGATATCGACTTTATGAAGCTTATTTACGACTTTCTTAAAGCTGTTGATTTATGTGTTTAGTGTTTTGTGTTTTAGTCATCCTTTACGTTTAAGTTTTAAATTAGTTCAAAATGCTTTCCCTTGTCCTCCCTCCAAAAGATAAATAAATGTAATCCCTAATCTCGAGTAAACCGCGAGTAATCGGCCCCCGTTCTACTAACATTAGTTGTAAGAAAATGATATTCACACACAATTATGTAAAAATATTCGGCTCCGCAAAGCTAACGCATTTGAGCCTTGACAAATAAATGGATTATAAAAAAAAAAAAAAAAAAACTTAGTAGTTCCATGAAACTTCGCTTTATTGTTCGCTAGAGGCAATTAACCAAGTTTGTGCTGGAATTCGGTTATTTGTACTCTTGCCTAATTTTTCTAAATGGCGTATTTCATCCTAATTTCAATAAATCATACCGTTGAGAAAAGGTTAAAACAATTTACTAAAAGTTGATGATCTTCAATTTTGGTCAATTTTTATTGTATCTATTTTAGAAAAGTTTACATTTTTGATGTGCTTTAAATTAAACATAAAAATGCACTATTTTGTTATCGAGATTTTTAACGGTTTTAAATGTTTTAACGAAATTTGTTATTTATTTTTCAGTTTCGAAAAATAAAATCATTCGTTAGTGTGCGTGGAATTGCTCAATATGTTGCCGTGTGGAATTATAACCTATAACATAGGCAAACAGACATAACTGTTGCAAGTTTTTCATCGAACACGCATTGAACGGTCAATTTAAATGTTTTTTAGTTAGTAGTACCGCCACCTGTGGCGCACATAGTCAATTCGCTTGCGTTTGACGATTAAACACTACAGCCATCTGTTATGTCCATCATAGTATACTCGACAGATGGCAGTAGTGTTTTAGCGACGATGTTTTATATTGAAAAATACTCAATGAGTTGTGTCTGTTTGTCTGTGCCTGTAACTTGTATGTATAACAGCCATTCCATAGCAAAACTATATAGAGCATTTCCAACCCAAACGCTAAAAAATATGTCAAATTTGTCTCGACCCCTTCCGATTTGAATGAAATATTGGTTCAATGGTGCCATTTTTCAATTAAATATGATTTTTTTTTCTACACAGTAACTTTTAAAAAGGGTGTATTAAAAAAATGATAATAGTTTTTCAAAAAATCATAACGTGAATACTATTGATTTGGTCAAAATGATATCTGAAAAGAAGTTGTAGGTAGTTAAATTATCTTTGAGGAAAAAATACACTTAAATAAAAAAAATTAGTAAATTATTATTAAAACCGTAAAATGTTGATTATCTCAAAATACCCCCCTCCCATCTTTATATTTTTTTATCAAGAAAACTGAAGAAATGTTATACAATTTGGTGAAGAGTTTAGGCTGGTAACTTGCTTAAAAAATAATTTTTTTTAGTTTTTGTTATTTTTAAAGTTTATGACATTGTATTTTTTTAGTAAAATAGTAATTTAATTGAATATTTGGCAATTTGGTTGTTTGAAACTGCAGTGATATTTTCGAGTTCCTGGAATTGGTTTCACTTACTTAAAAATTGGATCGAAATCCTTGTCAGCCTTTTTGTATTCTTCCGTAGAAACATAATGAAATGGCATTTTGTTTGAAGATCCTATTTACGGCTATTTGACCAGTCAAACAGTTGTTTGGGGTTCGTTATAGGGTGCTCGTGTAGCCTTGCCAAAACTTGCTCGGATTGCTTTTCTATTAAGAGTACCTCCAATTGCATCACAAGGACCTTTGCCGTGTGAACTTGCAAAAAAAAACCGCCATTCAATTTCTACATTATGGTTATCTTTAAATCCACAAAGGCTAACATTTTTTTTAATGTTTTTGTATTGCGATGCTGCTCCATCTGATATAAAAATAATCGTTTGAACTGCTATTTGCGACTTTAAAAATTCTAATCATTTTGAGATAAACAACTGAACTGCTCCTGCGTCATGCTTTGAAATGTCGTTCTTTTTATTTGGGTGGAATATGTTGCAAGTGTTTCTTGGTTTATTTTTACTGTAGACTGTAGACCTTCGTTGATTTCATTTTAATTTATTCTACACCTTTTTTTTTAGAAAAACCATTTCCTTATGATGCCATGGGTGATACTTGGAATTATGTTGGTAATCGGATTGTTAATTAGCGTGATATATACTGCTGTGGTATATTTCATCGATGGGTTCGTGCTCGGAGGCACTCTATGGATTGTTATTGGTTTGCTGTCAGTTGGTAAGTATGACAATAAATATAATGAATATGAATTGAACAATGTCATGATTATCAATTGATCAATAGCTGTGGTTGGACATAAATCATACTTTGATTGCTATTGATTCCAAAGCCATGGTATTTTTGCTAAAGCTGTTTACAAAGCCCGTGAATTTTTTTTCTACTCAAAAAAGTTCAAAGTAAGTAGTATACAGGTGATTGTTCTTACATACTTGGAGCCAAGCATAGTTGATTGCACTAATACTTGTGCATTTATAGATGTCTATAGCTAAACTTTAAAGCCCAAAGAACTTGTCAACCCGGTAAGGTTTTGGTAGAAAAATATTGAAAGACTTCTGTTTCTCATACAACGTGTTTATTAACTTTTTCGATGATTTTATGCGTGAATAAAATAATTTACGTTTTAGGGGAAATGGCTCTAGTGTTGGCCTATGTGGATCTAAGATTGAGCCCATCGCCCAAAAAAAAATGTGCTTTTTATCTATTTTATCTAGATGAACGCGTCATTGGGACGGTACTTTTGGATATTTTTGGTCGCTATTGAAAACTTAGTCCATTGCTGAATTTATGAATGGGTCCAAATTAGGGGAATTTAATGGCCGACATTACATCCATTTCCGCTTTATTAAATATTCGTAATTCTTAAAATCAATCGTTGAAATTGGTTACGATAGGTAGATTTTGACTTTGTTCACCCATTGCAACAATTAAATTCAAAGTACATTTCTTCAAAAACAGAAGCATTTTCTCCTATACCTCGCCGTGCATAGATTAGAAATCTACATCATCATGTATAGGCAATGTATTTGTTGTATTGTAGAAACAATTAGCAAGTAGATAACCAAACCCGGAATCATAAGCACAGCCACATAATTTAAAATTATAGCAGAAACTATGTACGTAAAACAAAGCCTGAAGTAAAGTTTAAATACTCATAGGACCAAAGAGTGTTAAAGTGAATATAATAAAAATAAACGAAAGAAGTCATGTTTAATATTCAGTACTGCATCTAAAATGTCTATTTATAAAAAAAAACCGAAAAAAATTGGACATAAAAATCCCTTGAATTTGGCTTTGGATGTGTATGGCAAACATGCTTTAGCATATACAAACTAATAAATAATTCAGATGATCCATGAAAACAAGGTGAAAATCCCTAAAAAAGTGTGAATGATCTATGGAAAATGTGTAAAATTTAGCATCAGATTTATAAATGTGTATCAAATGATGAATGATGAAATGATAATGAATGAGCATTGAAATTGTACGAATTACCCATACCCGAGTAGGTGAGAATAGCAAACCAATAGCAAGTTTTGCTATCAAAAATAGAATATCAGAACATCTCAATTTGTTATTAGTTTGATTGAAATAAGAGTTAAAATATCAAAAATAATAACGGAAACCGTTCGGGAGAAAAACTAAATAATAGCAAATCTTGTTATTGCAATATCAAACTAAGAACAAAAAAATCAAAAAAGTCCAAAACATATTTAGATATTATTAAGATATTAAGAACTAATCTTGAAATTGATGTTAACTAATAATTATTAATAATATTAACTAATAAGAACTAATTAGGAATAAATTCAGTTGTTCGGATTGAATAACAAAATAATAGCAGCTTTAGCTATTCTTCTTAGAGAGCTTAATAATAGTATTTTTTTCAGTCGAGAATCAGTTTTACTGATAATAACAATTCGGCAAAGCTTTTTTTATTTGTAATAATAATAACGATAAAATCAACATGAAATAGAAACGTAACTTTCTAAAAAAAAACGAACAATGGCTGAACAAAACAGATTTGAAGTGTTGTTAATATATTGAAGTGTTATTAATAATATTGTTTACATTGCTGGCCAACAACTGCACTCCAAAAAGTTATGTCATAATATTTATTCATATGAACTAACAGATATTATTAAAGTAATGCGAGTCAACGACACAATACGTCAATGTATAAATATATGCATGAAAATGAACGATCGATCATTGCAGTTTATTTCTAAATGTAAAATCCATACACAAATTGATTGATTTATGGGTCCACATTTCAAGTATTTATGGTATTTATATTACGTAAGTCTTTAAAATCTGTCGATCATATACAAAGTACAAACTAAAAATAAACACCTATCATTAAAATAAAATAAAATAAAAATGTCTGAAACATTGAAATGAAAGTAGAGTCTAAAAATGGAAAAGAATATTAATATGATGCCAATAGCAAAATATGATACAATATCATAAATTGTTGTCGAGTTTTTATTCGACTGTTTTATGACTCAAAATTTTAATATCATGAAAATAACAAATTTTGATGTGATATCATATTTTGTTATTAGATTGTTATTATGTGTTATGGGTAAATAACATAATAATATCAAGATAAGCTATGATAGTAAAATTTGCAATTGGTTAGTTCTTGGTTTGCTATTTTCATCTACTCGGGTAAACATATTGTAAATGATCCATAACACGTTGAACAATGAACCTTAAACTAACAAAATTGATCCATAGAAAACCACGTTTATGCATTAAAATATGTAGATATGATCCATAAAGTAGGCATGTATGTTTCATATTTATTTTAATTTTGATCTCAAACCTTTAAAAATGGCTCATTTACTGCTTAGCTACTCAAATGTACTGTCCTACCTTTTTTTAATCAGAGGAATATGCTTCCAAAATAAGCTTCTATAAGAATCTTCTTATGGGGAAGCTTAGCGCACCTGGCATGTTTTGATTTTTTCTAAAAATATCGGAAAAGAGTTCAACTAAATAATTTTTTCCTTAGATTCACGAATAAAATTAAATGCAAAATATTTATTTTGCCTCATCATGAAAAAAAGTTCAATTCTAAATTAACCCGAACGGTTGATTTTTGCAGTTTTTTTTTGAGTCCAACTTTGTGCCATGATGACTTTAAAAAAATTGTTTATTTTATTTAAAAAATTGAAAAAGAAAACTAATTATTTTATATTTTATAAGTTTTTTTTCTATAGTTTAAAAAAAATGAACGTAGTTCTAGTTTCAGTGTGACTATATTTTTCTTAAATTCCTAATTTTTTAAATTAAAAAAAACTATTTTCCTGAGAAAATTGACACATGTCAACATATTTTTCTATCTCATCATGCAACAAAATTGAACCCTGAGCAAAATGTGTTTTTTTGATTTATTTCCCGATTCTTGAGAAAATTCACATGTAAAAATATTTTTTCTATCTCATTATAAAAAAATTTGGACTCTCAGCAAAACCGAGAGCTCGATGTTTTGTGGTATTTCATGATGACTTACAAAAGATGTTTTAGTACGTGTTCATATCTTTTTTAATATTTTTAGAAAAAAATCAAAATGTAATTATATTTTTCGGAGCGGTAAACTTCCTTTCAAGAAGCTTTATCTAGAAGGGTGTATATAAGTCTATTTGTTTGCTTAAATCATCATAAGACTGGCCCACATTTATTTGGGGGAAATTTATTATCATTTTTTTCAACGGGCCAATCCCTAGATTTGTGCCATTAGGTGAAAAAACCACTCTCTGAAAATTATAGGTCATTCGGATGTAACACGAGCTGGCGCTTTTGATATAAAGTTTATATGGGGATATTGGTTGAAATGTATGGAGAAATTACATTCCTACACTCTTTCGTGCATAGAACTGGATCAGCAAACTCGATTAAGCTCAGAATTTCAGCACACGTAGAATAAACTATAAGAAACAACTTTGCTCAAGACAGCATCACGATTCAAGTTAGTATTATGGAGATATTAATTATGTGCATTCTGCTCGTATATTGCAACAAAAGTTCATATTTTCCACTGGCCAACATCCAGGTTCGTGTCTTTTGGTGCGAAACCACTCTCTGAATGTTTCAGCTCTTTTTGACGTTACACGAGCTGGCGATTTTAGTTTAAAGTTCATATAGGAGACTTGGTTGACATTTTCATATAAAAAATGCTCATACACATTCAAAAGCGAATGTCTAAATAAAACTGACTGGATTCATGATGCAATGTTCAGCAAAGTTGTTACTCATTAATTGAACTACAAGTTTTGAAAATCTGAATCAAATCGAGCATAAGGGAACTTTTTTATGGTCGATTGAGTGTAGGAGGGGCATTTTTTCATGTATTTTATCCAAATTCCCCATACAAAATTCAAGCTAAAAGCGCCAGCTCGTGTTACATCCGAATGAGCTGAAATATCCAGAGAGTGGTTTTCTTACCTAATGGCACAAATGTAGGGGTTGGCCCGTGGAAAATTAGAACTTTTATTTTTGTGGGCCAGTCTAATCAGCATGACAGCATGGTTTTTTAAAATCAGTTCATCTTAGAATGTTGGGAAGAACTTCCGTGAAAACTTCGAGAAGAAGTTTCAAGAATGTAACAAGAATTCTACCGTCAAAGACGTGTACAAAACTTCCAGGACAATTATAGCATTGATGATTTTATAACCAAACCTTTGAACATACCAGTATTGCCTTTAAATAATCTACAATTTCAAAAAAATCAAGTTGATTTGCTCGACAGGTGCTCGATTAATTTCATTCCGGTTTATGGTCTTTCATTAGAGTACTGACCACTAATTTGCGGTTGCTATGTTGACATAGCATATTGTTTATTCTACTTGGCTTCATCGTGTCCGTACATGAGCAGTTTCCTTATTTAAGGGAGAATAGTCCATAATGCACCCCTGGGGTAAAATTCCCACTTATAGAAAAACAGCGATAACATTTCCTCAGATGCATTTTAAGGGTAACGGATTGTGTTTGTTTTCAACAGAAGGTTTTACAAATAATTATTGATCATAAAATACTGATTCCTTTAAAAAATAGCATTTTGTGCAAAACATGACAGAGTTGTTAAAATCATCGACTGTAAATTAAGCTTTAAAAACAGCATACACCGCAAAAAAATTGAACGAATTCACTTTTCGTATATTATTTAGATGTTTTATTTTATGAATCACAGTTAATCACTCTATTGAGACCTTATT